AGCCAGGCAGCGCGAAGGGACACATCACAGCCCCACCTCGCTGTGGGGTTTGGGACCCAGCGAGGTTTTTTTTTTTGATGTTCAGCAGCAGGGCAGATGTTCGGGCTGCAGAAGATGCGGGTTAAGGCTCCTCTTTGGTCCACATCCGTGGATTGAGTGCCGAGAGGGCAGCGGGGAAATAAAAAGATGAGGACCCCCTTGCTTTGAGCAAGATATCGAACTACGTGAGCTCTGGAGACCCCTTCCAACGTAAATCCATGATCCTGCAGTTTCTTTTCTAGGGGTAAAATAAGCTAAATAATTTGCAAGGAATCTGGAAGTGCGTGTGGGGGGTCTCCACCTTCCTCCTCCAAGCAATTTTTCTTTAATACTTGGATCTTCTCATCACTGCTATAATTCAAGGGTTGTAAGTAAACTTCCTAATATTGGCATTACCACATACGAAACTAAACTTGATTATTACAGAACTGGTAGAAAACAGAACCTGAAATCCACTATGATCTCCTTTGAGAATGAAAACCTGGCTGCTGCTGGATCCCGTGGGTAGACGGATTGCTAGGTACATGAAAAAATACAGAAAATACAAATTCAGGAGCTTCACTAGACTTTCTGATGGGTCAGGGTCTTATCTGCAACGTGGGCTCCCCTCCCCGCCTCCACCAACCAAAGAGGAAAAGTTATTCCCGGTGGAGCTGTGATCCCTCGAAATTAAACTACCCTCTGACTGGAGCCATGGTGTATTTTGCAGCTTTGGGAGGCGGTGGCAGCGAGATGCCGGGTCAGCCCCGGGGCTGTGGGTGATTTGCAGCGGTGGATGGATGGTCTTGGCACGCGCCGTCGCGTTTAATGACATCCTCCCCGGCTTGGATCGCAGCCCTTCCACCGTGCAGGGGAGGATAAACACCGGCACGGCCACAGCTCAGCTGCCAGTGGGAAGGAGACCATCCTCCACACGAAGGAGGTAGGAATAGGGGGGTGGGGGGGCCTTCACCCATGTCCTCAGATGACCTTTCTGAACCTGATCCCCACCCCCCCGTGATGTGAGGGTGTCACCTGAAACCAGCCAGCCCTCCCTGAATAATCACTCTCTTTTTTTTTTTTTTTTAAATTTATTTTATTATTTTTTTTTTCCCAGTTTGGATGCAGAAGTGAAAAATCAAAAGGGGGAAGGGAGGGGGGGAAGAATTAAAAAAAAAAAAAAAAAAAAGAATAAAAATAAAAAAAAAGAGAAAGACTGAGGTCAACACAAAGCAGCAGTATTTCAGTCGTTCTTTGAGAGCTCGTCTATATTCACGCTGTGGGTGTTCTCGTTGCAAACACGAAGTGGGAGACGTTTTCCCTTAGTAGGGCAGGCTCCCGCGCCACAGCCCTCCTCGCCTGGCCATAAAAGGGCAGCAGTTTCTGCAGGACCCCCGGGTGTTCCCAAAGCTGACGGGCTTTTGAGAAGGGGCCTGCCCTGTCGCATCACGACGCTGCTTGCTTTGGACCTTGCAACCCTCGTCTTAATTCTGCTTTCGCTCATTCTTTTCTTGTGCCTTTTGTTTTGCCTCTCCCTCCTCCTCCTCCTCTCAGGAGGTTGGAGGGAGACAGGCCAGAGAGCCTCCAGGAACGTTCTTGCTTTCCCCATGATTTTTTTTTTTTTTTTCTTTCTCTCGGCCTGATTTGATCCCTTCTTTTCCATGATCCGTACGCCCGCTCAGAAAACCAGCTGCTGAGTGGAAACCAGTTGCCAAGCCCGTGATACCTCCCCAAAGGGGTTGACCATGTCCCCAGCCTCCATCCCACGTCCCGTGGGTGAGGCCATGGCAATCTGAAGGGCTCTTCCACCTCCTGCTTTACCCAAGCACGTGCATGCCCTGACACGCTGGGGGCTCGGCGCTGGCTCGGGAAGGGTGGACACCAAGGAATTTCACCTCACCATGTCCTGGAGCACCTTGTGATCACCATCAATCCAAAACTACCAAGTTCACCGTTAAACCACGTCCCTCAGCGCCACGCCTGTGCGTCTGAAACACCTCCAGGCTCTTGCGTGGGTCTCGCGAACTCAAAGCTGTCTGAGCTATTACAGCGTATCGGCTTTCCTCTTGTCCCTTGTCCTTGCTGGCACTTCTCTTGGAGAAGACCGAAGCTATGGAAATGCAAACTGATGCTTCAGGTTTTTTTGCATTTCCGCTGATGACCTCGTGGAGTCTCTGGGTTGCTATCTCGTGGCCCAGCAAGAGAAAGGGAGAGGGAAAGCTACAGGAGACGTCCCTTTTGTGGGCACCACACTGCTGGAAAGAGGTGGGGAGGAGACCTAACGCTTCCCCCTGTGTCACCAGGGCCTCCCTCCACGTGCTCCTCATTTACCGGTGCCTCCAGAGCTTCCCTCTTGCTGGAGAACCTGTTCCCTAACAGCGACTGAACTGAGCTCCAAACCCCCAGATCCCCCTAGGGTGAGCTGGACCCCCCGTTACGGTTTAATTCTCCCCAGCAATGTGTCTGTGTGAGATACGGCAGAGCCACCTCCCAGGAAGACTCCAGACCTTCCAGATCTTTGCATGAAGGCACCGACAGCTTGGAGTTAACCCCCTCAGAAACCCCAGTGGTTGAAGAAAAAAAAAGCTCCCACGAGAGATCAGTTGTCCGTGTGCCTCATTAATCTTCTTGTGTACAGAAGCGTCTTATGTCTCACCCTGCTTGGCCCTTGCACGGTGGGATGAGGAGCAGGAGAAGAGGTGGTCTAAGTGGGTTAGGACAGCCCCTGTGCTGCATCAGGCACACACAAGGCTGCCTTGGCTGTCCTACACAGCAAAGCCACCAAACCAGGCTGGGTAGGATCCCATCAAACTGGGTTGAGTGGGATTTTCTGGGAGCCCCGGGAAGTTGTCTCGGCAAATTCCACGCAGCTGCGGCCGACGAAACCACACGTGTTTCACCTCTGAGGAAGGTTGCTGCAGTCACCCTCGGCAAATCAAGAGTTTCACCCAAATGTGTCACTGGTTGTGCCCCATCCAGGACATTCCCCCTTGCATTGGTGGCAGCGGCCGCCATGGGCACAGCTTCTCCCACATCAGAAAGGAAAAACTACGGGTGGCAAAGGCCAGGTTTCCACGTGAGGGGTGGGCTCAGCACCCCCTAAAAAGCAAGAACCTCGTGGTGAGCCCACCAGAGTGGTGTCAGGGCTTTGCCCACCCCCAACCCACCTCTCCCTGCAGACCTGCTACGAGGGCTCCAAGCTCTGGTCCCCTCTGCCACATCCATGAAGGTGCTGCAGGGATTTGGGAACCAGAGCAGATCTTAAATCCTCAGCTCCCCCCCCCCCCCCGGCCTCATCTCACCCTCACCCCGGCGCTGGCTGCGTGTCAGCCGGGTGTTTTCCAGGAGCTTATGTGGCTTTTGGAAAAGTTTCCAGGGTAGAAGACATACTGGATGGGCCAAACACTCATCTCACAAAAAGCTTTCTGATAGGGGAGAAGTGCTGGTGGCATTGGCCAGGATTTTTTTCCTGCAGAGCGGAGCGGGGTCGAGAGCAAGAAAGGGCATTGAAAAAAAAAAACAAAAAAAAAAAACAAAAAAGAAAATAAAATATATTAAATAAACCCAGCGCAGGCAGGACGTGGCTACGGCGACATTATGCAAAGAGCTGTACACATCTGGAAGGAGTTACTGCGCACGGCAACCGAAGCAGAGGCTAAACAAGTGCAAGACGTTACCACATTTATGTCTGCAAAAGGGAGTGGTGAGGGAAAAGGAAAAGAGCCGGGAAGGTGGGATGGAGCTGGAGCAGCCCAGGGGGCTCTGGGGATGCCCCTGGCCCCGCTGACGCGAGGCCCATGCCCTTCGGAGCCGTTGTGTTTCTCTGCTTTTAGGGTGGTAGAAGGGAATTTGTTTGCCTTTGGTGTTTTGGATGGTGTCTGCCCTGGTGGGGGGGGGGGGGGGGCAAAAGTGGGTCTCGGAGGTGGTCCCCATCCCAACGGGTCTCAGGTGGGCGCCCCGTGGGTCTACTCCTGCCTTGGCGGGCCGAGGGGCAGAGCCTGTCCCGGTGTAGGAGGTGTGGGAGCACCGGGGGACCCTCCCCGGGGGCTGCTCCAGCTTTGCCCCCCTCAGTCCCCAGCATGAGGGTTTTGGGGGGAGCCAGCTCCCAGCTGAAACTGGGGGGGACACTGGGATGCTAAAACCCACCCCCGGCCCAGCATCAGGGAGATCCACGCAGCGCTGGGGGTAAAAATAATGAAGCCCTGCTTTTTTTTTTTTTTTTTGCTTTTTTTTTTTGGGGGGGGGTGTGTGTGTGTGTTTGGGGGCTGGCTGTGCCCTGCACATCACATCCCAGGGCCTGAGGGGGGTGTGGGGGAAGCCCACAATCACCCATCAGACCCCTCTCCTAAAACCAAATGTGCCTTAATCCCCCCCCTCCCCTTCCCCATCTGCCACTGCCTGGGGGGGATCCCCATTTCCTCCCCACAGCGGGAGAATGATCCCCAAATCCTCTTTTTTAATAAAACCGATGTTACCCCACAGCTCCCCAAACTGGGGTTTTATACCCCCGAAAGCCTTGCTGTTTCGTTTGGGGTGGATTTTTGGTGGGGGTGTGTGTGTGTGTGTGTGCGTGGGGGGGGATGATCCTCCACGTGCCTCAGTTTCCCCACAGACCGGGGTACAGAAGGTGCTGCCGGGGTGGGGGGGGGATGCTGTGACCGTAACTCGGGGGCGGGGGTGCGGGGAGAGGGGATGGAAAGTGGGGAAGGGGGGGGGGGGAGTGTCACGCGTGGGGCGGGCCGCGCGTGGGCGGTGTGGGGAGCCTGTCACTTTAAAGGGGCAGACGCGGCCCCATCTGATGCGGCGGCTCCAATCAGCGGCCCTGGGGCTCTTGGCAGCCGAAGCCGCCGCCGCTCCGCATTCCTCCGTCTTCCTAAAAGGGGCTAACATGGCGATGGGCAGGATGAGGTGAAGAAGAGAAGGAGGAGAGGAAGAAGAAGAAAAAAGAAAAAAAAAAAAAAAAAAAAAAAGAGGAGAAAAAAAAAAAAAGGAAAAAAGGGGGGAGAGGAAAGGAAAAAAAAAAAAAAAAAGAAAAAATAAGGAAGAAAAAAAAAAAAAAAAGGAAAAGAGGGACGGGGGATGCAAGCAGGGCTGGCAGCGGCGGCGCGGTAATTTCCTCCCCCCCTACCCCCCTCCTCCAAAAGGCAAAAAAAAAAAAAAAAAGAGCAGCAAAAAAGCCAGCCAAAAAAAAAAAAAAAAAGAAAAAAAAAAAAAAAAAAGCAACCAACCCAGCAAACCACCCAACCCAACATTTCTTTTTTTTTCATGGAGAGCAAAAACCCCAGGCAAGCGGAGGAGGACCGGGACTCCTTTGCGCGGAGACCTTTGCATCAAAATGGTAGAGCTTGCAACCCCTCCTTTTCCCTTTTCTCTGCTTTTTTTATTTTCCCCTTCCCCCTCCTGACCCCCCCCTCCCCCCTTTTCATCCCCCCCCCCGTTTCCTCGCGCTCCCGGGGCTTTGCTGACTTTGCAAAGGCCTCCGAAACTTGCCCAAATCCTTGCAAGGGCGATGGGGGGGGGGGCGGTTTGGGGGGGGGGGGGGGTGTGTTTGCATGGGCGAGCCGGCGGCATGCTGCAGCCTCGGGGTGGGGGGTGGGGGGCTGTGCGTGGGGGGGGGGGGGGTTGCTGTTTTGGGGGGGGGGGGTGTTACCAACAACGCAACCCACCCGTGCAACGGGCCGGGTGTTTGATTGCAAACCGCTTTGCCGGGGGGCGGGGGGGGGGGGAGGGTGCTGCACGGGGGCCCCCCCTTCCTTGTTGTGAAGGGGGGGGGGGAGGGTTTGCCATTTGGTCAAAATGGCATTAAAAATACACCCCCCCCACCCCCCCACCCCCGTTTTTCCGTGCACAGGCGCTTTTTGCGTGGGGTGCGGGGCTGCGCGGCGGGGCTGGGCTCGCCCTCGCTCTTGGGGTGTCTTGAGGGGTGATGGGGCTGCTGGGGGGGGGGTTAGGGGGGGTGCAGTGGGGCCTGACCCCCCCCTTCCTAAAGTGGGGAGGGTGACCCTGCAGCCCAGCACCCCGAAGGTGGTGGGGGGGGGGGCCGCTTACCCAGGCCCCCCCCCCCCCCCCCCCACGCCATGTCTCCCACTCGAGGCGGGGGGTTGTCACTGGGAAGATTTAGAAGTGGGGGCTGGGGTTGGGGGGGGTGGAGGGGGGGTAGAACTTTTCGAGCCTCCTGGTCGCCCAGGCCGGAGGATTTGGTGGCGTTGCGGGAGCGCAGGAGCAGCCTGCTGCTTCCTCGGCCCTTTTTGTTCCCCGGATGACTCCTTCATTTTGCTAATTCTTCGCCCCCCCCCCCCCCCCCCCTCCTTCATTTTTCATCCCCCCCCCCCCCCCCCCCCCCCCCAACCTTGCTCCTGCCTCGGGTCCCCTTTTCCCAGGGGGAACTGGGGAGATGCTGGGCTCATCCCAATACCCTGGAGGAGCGAGGCCACGAGCGTGGCGCGGGGAGGGTGCAGCATCCCACCCCACTTTGGGTTTGCAAAGGGATTTTCCATGCATGCTCTTAAAAAAAAAAAAATAAAAAAATAAAAAAAAAAAAATTAATAATAACAGAGGGTGGCTGGTTGCACTGGGAGCCTTGCAGCCAGGGCTCTTGCCTGCAGCAGTGACCTATTTTAGCGGCTGGTGGACTTTTGGGGGGGTTAGTTTGGCTTGCAGAGAGCAGGCCTGAGGTGGGAAGATGCCCAGGAAATCCCTCGGGATTTGTGGTGCTCAGGGACGGCGGTTCCCGGTCCCCTGGTGCCTCCCCCCCGCCCCCATCCCTAAAAGCGCCGGGTTGTGATTGCCCCAGCGATGGCTCCGTGCCCGTAATCACACCCCGGGAGGCGTTTGAGCGGCTTTTTCGGCAAGGGGAAGAAAGTGCAAGCTTGGAAAAAATAAAAGAAACAACGCTGACCCGGCGCGCGAGGTGATGGCAGGGATGCTGGGCTGGGGCTCGGCACCCCGCAGGTCCGATACTGGGGGTAACCGGAGTCGGGTTTGGGTTCCTGCCGGGCGGCTGCGCTCGGCCTGTGAAATTCCTGCCGGCGTGAAATCAGCTGCTGAACCCACCCCTGCAACCGCTCCGGAGGGAGATGCTGGTGGAGACCTCCGGGAGTTGGACCGGGGGTGGTTTTTGGGAGCGTTTCGTTCCCTGAGGTGGGGATGGAGATGCCCGGAGCCCACCCGAGCAGGCAGCCTTGCGAGGAAGAAGGGGAAAAGTTAGGAATTAAACCTTCTCTCCACACCCGGCCTCAGCAAGAACCAGAGGAATATTTGCTTTACACAGCAAAAATCCTCCTTGGAAAGATATTAATGGATTTTTTTTTTTTTTTTTTTTTTTTTTTTTTAATTTTTTTCTGAATCTGGGGTGAAACCTTGCCGGGTGCAGACGTTTCAGCTCTGACCACGGAGTTTCCCTGAGGATGCTGGCTGGGTTAAACGTCGCTCGGGGGGTTTTGCCAGGGCGGCCAGAGGGTCCCCTTCGCCGCCCGGCTTGGCTTCACGGCAGAGCTTTGTTCTCCCCGCGAGGAATTAACAGCGCGTTAGGTTATTACCAGGCAAACGCCAGAGTCGGGCGAGATAAATGGCCTTGTATTTGTGTCTCGCCTCTGGAGGGGAGGCATGTCACCCCCTTCATAAAAATAACACGCTGCTGCCTTCGGAGGTATCTTCTTTGTAAAAGGAAGGTGGAAGCAGGAGGTTGCCTGCGAGTCGATTAAATATCGGTTGTTTTTAAGATGCAGATTTTGGTGCTTAAGGAAAAATAGGGAGAAGCCTTTTGCGAATGAACCGAATGTGTCAAAACATCAGAGGGTCTTTGAAGGTTTCGGGAGAATCGCTGATTTCTTCATCCTCCCTCTCTGTTCTGGCTGGAGGAGAAAACTAAGGGGTCTCCCATGCTGCTGCATTTAAGCCTTTTTAGGTGGGGACATGGCAACGGCCGCGGCAAAGTGGGCTCTGGGAAGAGCAAGAGCTGAAGTTTTTATTTTGCCGCCACATTTGAGTGGCCCCAAAAAGGGGGATTCCCAGGTCCCTCACGTGGTTTGCATCCTAAATGTCCCCTGACTTCCCATGGTGGTCCCCGAAAGGCTGGAGGAACAGATGCCGGTGGGGAGGATGAGCGCAGGGTCTGGCTCTCTGCCATCTGCCCCTAATTTTTCCTCTCTTATTTCTAAAGGAAACACGTTACGTTGCATTGCTGGAGCGGTGTTTGCGCGGCAGGGCTGGCTGCGTTGGGTTCCCTGTCTGGGGACACCTGGGAACTCGTCCCCGTGTCCTCCGGGGCTGCTGTCCCCTCTTCAGCTGCCTCTCCTGATGGTGGAACCTGGGATGACTTTGGCTATGAGGAAAGACTGGCCATGGCGGCGCAGATACGATGGGTAGAGGACTTAGTTACAACAAATTGGCTTTTTTTAATTGCTATTTTTATGACTATATCTTTGCCCTGGAGCCAGGGCTGCTAGCACCCTGTCCGAGTTCAAGCCCTGCTCCCCAACCTGCTGAATTTGCTAGACGGCCGTGATAAAAATAAGACATTTTAATGCACGTTCATAAAAATGTTAACGTGTTGGACAGCGAGGATGCCTGGACTGGATGGAGGAGGATGGCGGGTGCTTCCCAAAGAGCCCTGGCCAAGTTGAGTTTAGGATGGAGCTGGATGGGGGGGTCCATCCCTGGGGTCAGTGCTGGGGTTTGGAGTGCTCTGGGATGGAAACCCTTGCCCAGGATGCCGGGAGAGGCTCAGCCTTGGACCTCTCTGGTGATTTTGTGGTCTGGAGTTGGGTTAGAAACCGCCGTTTTAGGATCTGCTGGGAGCCGGGTGTGGGAAAAACCTCGGAGGTGTCATATCCCATCACGCTGTTGACCCCCCTGGAAGGTCCCGGTGGCTTCCCCAGGGATGGGCAAGGGGATGCTGCGGTCTGGTGTCAGCCTAATTCAGCAACACCTGGGGGGAGGCTTTGGGCATCCATCCCCCTGGCTTTCCGGGGATCTCGGCCTTCTTCCCAGCCATGTGTGGCTGCGGGGTTGGCTCAGAGGACACGGTGCCTTCAGGTTGTCCCCAAGAAGCGTGGCGGCCGCCCCCCTTGCACCCATCCATACCCGCTGCACCCGATTTGGGGTCCCTGGGGCTCCCCTGAGCCACGGGGGAGTTGGGGGGGCTTGGTGCACCGCCTGCCCCGCTGCACCCATCGCTTCCCTTGGTGGCACTGAGGACACTCATGGTCCCCAGGGGGGGGTGATGCTCGCCTCCTCCCCGGCCTCGCGCCGGGCTGGGCAGCGGTCCGGAGCTGGCCCCTGGCGCAGCCGCTTGGCCGACAGCCCGGCTGGGGAGGTCAGCGTTGGGTTTTGTCCTCGTTTCCTCCCTCGATCTTTCCTTCCCTTGTTTTTCTCGGGCAGGGGAGGGAGGAGGACAGTGGCTTTCGCATGCATCTGTGCGTGTGTGTGTCTGTCCCCCCCCCTGGGCTCTTCCACCCCAGCGGTGACTCTGTGGGAGGTCCTGCATCCCCCCCCCCCCGGACGGGAGGGCAGCATCCCATCCCGCCGCCCTCTCCCGTGCCAGGGCGGTGGCTCGGGGACATCTCCATCAGAGCCGGGTGTCACTGGCGGCGTTTGCCAGGAGGATGCTGAAATCCAGCATCATCCCATCGGGGTTTAACCCCCACCCCCACCCCCCCCCCCGGCCTTGCTACGGGCTTAGCGCAGATCTTGAATTACCCGGAGAGGTTTTGCACCGTGCGGTGGGTCTGGCCTGAGCTGCACCTAAAGAAACCCCTTTCATCCCTGACCGAAGGGACACGGACAGACAGATGGGTGCATTCAGCCCAGCTTTGGCAGATCGGGGCATGTCCTGGGCTGAAAATAGTGATGTATCCCCAGTGCCGTCGCGGTGGCATCCCCCGAGAGCAGCTTTGCAGCGTCACCTCCCTGGACCAGTTTGGGCAGGGGAGGGGGGACAGCGGGGTTGGCCCGTCCGTCTGTCCTTGCAAAGCATCGTTGTGGTTTTGCAGCTCTGTGCGCTGAAGAAAAGGAGAAAGACGCCCAGAGCGGCTGGCGGGATTTAAAAAAAAAAAAAAAAAAAAAATCTTTAAAAAAAGGAAATAAATAAGAAAGCAACCAGCCATTAACTCTCTGCGGGCTGTGCTGCTGGGAAGCCAGCACCCGCTCCCGACGAGGTGAAGCCTTGTGTTGCTCATCCCACTTCGTCGCCCTGCTCTCCCCAAGCCATGGGTGGCCGTGGCTCTTACAAGAAAAGCCCAAATAAACCTTTTTCCCCATTTGCAGAGGCGGCTCCCCGGCTGCCAGGGGACGGGGATGGGGAAAGGATTTGTCCCCGTTCCTTTGCTCTGAGGATGG